ATACGGAATATTCTGACTCAAACATTCATCAACAACGGCATCCTGTGTTAAGAAAAATTTGATGATGGCGCGGCATATGCAAATTGACTCTTTTCTTGCCCCCCCCTGTACACATTACGTTAATGCCACACACATTGTAAAGGTTGGCTACTACAGAGAAAACTTATCTCTTCACAAGTGCAATGATCGAGTTGGTCTTTCGCTAAGGCGACGCTTGCTGCAGAGAAAAAGCGATTGTCTTTTCGTACCCATCCGAAATGGATATGGCAGTTGCTATGAGAGGGCGAGGAAAGGTGAGCCAAGCTTACACAAACAAATCGACTATTCAACCCTACCACATTTTGATATTTCTTTTCGCAAGCCGACGAAGCAGTATCGAAAAAGCACAGACTATGTCATTTGACTGGACAAAATAAGAATCGGGATCAAAAGCAGGATCTACACAAAACGGCAAACGGTAATGAAAAGTGGAACCCATGAGCTTGATCATTACAATAGGATACCTGCTCATATGCCATAAATTTGATGGCAGATTCTGGAGCAATTTTTATAACGTTGATGCCGTTTCCTCTCCAGAACGATTTCACACCTCCCTCTGCATGCAACAGTCGCAACGACGATAGCACACCCAAAGTTGTTCGTTCGAGTAGCATGTACCTAAATGGACGTTACCCTACTGCGTTGAAAGAAATCCTCAATTATCAAGAGAAAAAAAAGCTCGCAATAAAGTTGTTATTCACTAATTACCTGCATAAACACTTTAAGTCGGTCAAAGGGAGCTGTACAAGTCCTAGACATGCAACCGGCTATTCCGCCTGCTACTAAATGGACCATACCCGGATATGTATTTCCCTCATCAGTAACGTCTTCTTGGTACGGTGACGTGTCCTCTCCTATATCTATCACCTGAAAGAGAAAGGTGAACACTGATATAACCAAAAAGCGCAAAAGGTATAAAATCATAACATTTAGATAACCATTTCCCGAGACAAACTCGCAATACAAAAAATGTTATCCATGTGCTCAGGTGTTCAAATTACCCCTTAGTTTATTTTCGATTTTATATCGGGATTTTAGGGCGGAAGTGGTGTAGTGACAAGTGGCGCGCTCACCACGCGAGCGGTCCGGGGATCAAATCCTGGGTCGTGAGTCGCCCGGGCCAACCAAGCCTTCCATCCCTCCGGGGTCGGTTAATTGGTACCAGACTTGTCTGGGAGGATAAAAAACACTGACTTGTACATCGGCTGGCCCCCGCAAGTCATTGTATAGGCCACATCGCATTCAAATGCCACTGCGAATGTACAAATGGAAGTAGAATGCGTGCCGCATCCCAAAAAGGGATTGATCAACGGCAAATGCTTTATCCTTTATATTTTAATTATATGCGTATTTTTGATTCTAACGAACCGTTTATGTTTCACAAGAATGCTGGGTTGTGAACAAAACTTTCGCCCCAGGCGGGACTAGAACCCGCACCTCTCGCTTTCCGGGCAAGTGCGCTACCAGTTACGCTACCGGGGCACCATTTCATTCCCAACTCAGCTTTTCATGGTATACGTACCATAGCTTTCACCCACCACACGTATAACGTGAATCGTTGTAGTGTTGACAAGTTATGGTAAGTATACCATGAAGCTAAGTTTTAAATGATACCCCGGTAGTGTGACTGATAGCGCACTTGAAGCGAGATTGTGCAGTGATCTAGTCCGCAAATCTCATCTGGGGAAAGTTTTGTTCACAACCTTGTGAAACACTCGCAAGACGTACTGCGGCCAAAACAGCAGGTAGCAAACAGAAACAAGTCGGAATCGTTGAATACCACAAAGCCGGTTGGAAAGGTGATGAAAGTCCCGACCATTTAATAAATTTCATTAGCTCTTCACCGAACTGTATCGTGAACCCTTTATGACAATCCTCGCCCGCACTGCAGTAATTGATAGACCACTACCAGGAAGATCGCCAAGTGTGAACAATTGTTTACAAACTAATGATCGTGATCCATCCGTCAATAGTGGATACACCTAAATCTTGCAACACTGTATGGCAGCGCTTATGTTGAAATTCCTTTTTGTTTCGAATGGAGTGAAAACATTCTTCAATAACTATCATGAAATTATAAAAAAGGCAATTGTACAGGGAGGGTAAGACTTATGGTAACAAGAACGTGCCGCCTGCGATTTTTAATTTAAAGCAACAGTCCAGGCAGGGTTTCAACCATTTGGTTTTCAAGTGGTGGAAACATGCCTCAGCCTGATTGGAGTTCATGGGAAATGTCACAAACTTCAAAACTTACCTCTGAAAGGCGTTGGAAGCAGTCGAAATCCTTCAAGAGGGGCGGATCCACCGATCCGTGGTGGGGCCGCCTCCAAGCAGCTGTGCAGAGCGCTTGCTCGACTAGCGGTCGTTGCGGGACCGCCGCGCTGTATGAGGTCGATTCCATAAGAACGCAATTGAAGCGCTTCAATTTCGATTGCTGGCAAATAGTTATGTATTTGCAAGCATGCATGGCTATTTGCCAGCAGTTGCAATTGGAGCGCATGTACTACGGGCAGGTTCGGACAACTCGTCCAACACACGTCTCCCTAAACGGCAGGGGGAGTCCCTGTCTAAGCCCCTGCCCGACGTTTTTTTCTACTTTTTCTTTCTCCATTGACCAACTTCTCACCTGCAACGTCATTATAGGTGGTCCTTACCCGCGAATTCGTTCCTGGATTGTTGCTTTAAACCCAAACATGTTTGATGTGTATTCTATGCATTTTTTCCCAGTGTTCATATTTTGAGTTCCTCATATGAGATGTACAATGCGGGATGGATAACCTCTCACTCGAAAAGAATCACTCCTTTGCTCTGAAGAGCTATTCCATTGTGCTAGATTGCGAGACGACTTAGAATCCCTATGAAACTTTTACCGGCTACTATTTCGCTGTATAATGGGCTACTTACCAGCATCAATAACCCTGGAAACAATATGATTGCTTTTGTTATTCCAAAAACCATTTTGAACAGGCGTGCAAGCCAGCGCTGGCACCGAGCTAGCTCACTCCGCCACTTGGTCGTCAAAATTGCTACCGTGCATTTCACTGCGAGGTATTCATAACCTACACCACATGAGGAAACTTTACGAGCATGAAAATGACTAAATCCTGACTGAAGCGAGCACGTGAAAGAACCAAAGAAGCTAAGAGACGTTTCAATTCCTTAGCGGGCTTTTTTGACTGTTTCTACAGACGAGAAGATCTCCAGCTATAGCCCCAGCTTTGAATAATGAGGACAATCGGACCAACACTATCGAAAAGCAAAACTCGGCCAATCAATGACGTTTTTTGCAGAAACTATTGGAGCAGGAATCACGGGTCGAAGACACCTCGGATCTTTGCTGCTCAAGATATAACCGTACAGTAAGAATTGTCTCGAACTCCTTCAGACTCACGAACAGTTGAAATTCAGTCCAAGAGAAGTTTTGGCAGGAAACAGCAGGCACTAGAGCAAGATCGAGCACAAATGCACAAAGCGAGCATTGTCCAATTAGTTGCCAGCGGAAGTGGAATTCATCATATCGAAGAGGTGTCAACTTGATTCTTCCAGCTCAACTCCCTTGAAAGGCTCTGCATTGGACGTGCCGAGGCAAACTGCTGCGCTATACATAATCGGAGCATCGATTGGTTGATAACTTGCTCATGAAAGTTCGGACACTTGACAACACTT